ATATATATATATATATATATATATATATATATATATATATATATATATATAAACATTTTTTACTATACATTTTTTTGATAAATATATAAAACTGTTTTTATTATTAAAATATATTATAGAATTGTTACTAGGTGATATATGGAATCAAGTTCGTGAACTACCAAAATTTACAGATACTGGCAAAACATGTAGAATTGAGGATATGAAGTCATACACAATTGGATAAAAAGAAGTATATTTTGGGACCTCCCGTATTGGAAAGATAATTTGTTGCACCATAATCTTGATGTTATGCATATTGAGAAGAATTTTTTGGATAATGTATTTAACACAGTGATGGATGTTAAAGACAAAACAAAAGATAATGAGAAGGCTAGATAGGACATGAAAACTTGGTGTAACCGGAAAGAGTTAGAGTTGAAGCCTCAACCGAATGAAAAATTATTAAAATCCAAGGCTTGTTTTAGTCTGACTTTCCAAGAAGCTAAAACGGTTTGTCGATGGTTAAAAGATTTGAGAATGCCAGATGGATATTCTTCAAATTTAGCAAGGTGTGCTGACGCTAATACTGGAAAGTTGCATGGTATAAAAAGTCATGATTGCCCCATTTTTATGGAACAATTTCTACCAATTGTGTTTGGTTCACTACCCATACATGTGCTTAATCCACTAACTGAAATTAGTCAATTTTTTATAGATATTTGTGCATCCACTTTAAGAGTGGATGACATCATTAAGTTGGACCGAAACATTCCACTCATTCTCTATAAGTTGGAACAAGTATTTCCGCCCGTTTTTTTTTACTCCATGGAACATCTATCTGTGCATCTTGAATATGAAGCTTATCTTGATGGACCTGTTCAATATAGGTGGATGTATCTGTTTGAAAGGTTCATGGATGATTCAAAGCGATCAGTGAAAAATAAAGCTAGAGTTGAAGGATCTATATGTGCATATTACTTGCATTAAGAAACATCACATTTTTGCATTCATTATTTCAATCACTTGATGTTAACTCCTAGAATCATACAGAATCTTGTAAATGTCAACAAGAGAAGTCAATTCACCTTAACAGACTTCAGGCGTCCAGGTCGTCCCTCTGAAAAGAAGGGTGTGCATTGGTTGACCCAAAAAGAAATGTAATCCGCACATGTCCATGTCTTGATCAACTGCGTTGAAGTTAAACCATATCTTGAGTAAGTATACATCAACTGTTTAATTTTCTTTGCAGTGTTAATATAAAACTTATTATCTTAAAACTTATAGTGTGTTTCTTTTTAGGGAATTTAACATCACCTATTTTCATAGTGTCAATGTACAATTAACATTTGGTGTCATTCATGCTCAATTTCCAGCATGGTTCAAGGAGAGATTGTCTAGCATTGTTGCATTGACTCCAGAAATACCCCATTTAAGAAACTTGTCTGAAGGCCCTGTTCAAAGCGTAAATGAATGGCACACATACTTCGTGAACGAATATAAATTTCACACTGAGACATGGACTGAAGGGAAAAACCATAAATAGTGGTGTATTTGTAAAAGGAGTTATAGATGGCGGTAAAGATGACTTCTATGGCTTTATTAAACATATCTACGAGTCGGTATACAATTACTTGGACTCGGAAAATAAAGTTGTCTTGTTTTATTGTGAATGGTATGATTCAACTAGAGACACAAAAATAGATAAGCCATATGGTACTGTTGAGATTCAAATGGATTAGAGGTACAAAGAGTATGATCCTTTCACAATGTCACATATTATTAGGAAAGTTTATTATGTTCTTTATCCTTCACTTTTTCCACTTAAACGAGGATGGTGTGTTGTAATAAAAACAAAACCGCTGGGTTATATTGAAATTGGTGATCTAGTGGAAGATGTTTCTTACCAAGTTGATGAAGTTGAGCAAATTAATGATGTGATTGCAGATGAACAAATTACAAGTTTGTCTGATACAATGGTTGAGGGACATCAAGTTGATGTATCTATATTGTTTGTTAATAATAATGTGGACGAAGAGCATGATGAAGAGTTTGGATCCAAGGACAATATCACATCAGATGATGAGAATGATATGGATGACGAGCATGAAGATTTAGAATAATGAACTATTTATTGAATGTGTTAATCAATATGTATTGATGAGAATAATGAATCACCTATTGAATGTGTTAATGAATATGTATTGAAGAGAATGTATTTTTCAAAATTATTATTTTTGTTGATGAATATATATATATATATATATATATATATATATATATATATATATATATATATATATATATATATATATATATATATATATATATATATATATATATATATATATATATATATATATATATATATATATATATATATATATATATATATATATATATATATATATATATATATATATATATATATATATATATATATATATATATTAATTGTGTATTCTATATAACTAGGTAAAATGCCACCTCGAATTGATAAGAGTAAGGATAGTGGTAAGAAGTCCCAACGCCTGAGGTTAGTAACATGTGAGACACCTCAGTCGGTCATGTGCCCTCCCCCGAAGAGTCAGGTCGATTATATGTCCATGGTCAGTACTCAGCATTTTGTGTCATTACTCTCCTCTCAGAATATGCCATTCCTATCTGGGAGTTCTTCTTTTATTAGCCCGTATGGGGTAGCATCTTTTGTTAGGCCACCTGTTTTTCTTTTCCCGCAGACCCCAATGCCCTCATCCTTCCAGCATATTGGAGGACCCAATTTTCCACACAGACACCCTCATCCTTCCAGTATATTGGAGGACCCAGTTTTCCACATCCCACACAGATGCCATTATCCTTCCAACAGAATAGAGGATCTAGCACCCCACATCTCACACAGATGTCCTTATCCTTTCAGAAGACTGGAGGATCCAGCACCTCACATCCCACACAGATGCCATTATCCTTTCAGCAGACTAGAGAATCCAACACCCCATATCCCACACAGACTGGAGGATCCCACATCCGACACATGTACCTGCCCGTGAGGATGATCATGTGCAGCCGGATGATGATGATGATGACGATGTGGATGAGGATGATGATTTGTTGGATGAAAATGATCTTCGAGGGAATGATGATCCGAGTGAGATTCATGTCATTGACGCGAGATTTTGAATTTGGCCTGAAGGAAGCTCTTAAGTTTCTTATTTATAAATTTTTATTTAAGAATACATTTTCATTTTTAATATAAATTTATATTTAATATTTCTAGTTCAAATTATTGTTGTTTAGTTTCTCGCCGAATCGGACTGTTGCAAAGGTTATAAATTATATAATTCAACAGATGTATAAATAATTTTGGAAGACCTTCAATGACGTCAAAAATAAAGAAGCTTGGTTTAACAAATTTAAGGTATAATTAATTTATTTTTTAGTCATTGTTATTTAAATGACTTTTTCATTATAATTATCTAACTATTTATTTTAATATCATACAATATGCAGGAAAAATGTATGTGGGACTCATTGAACAAGAAGCTGATTAAAAAAATTATTATAGCAGAACCTCAAGACGACTTTCTAACATAACGCGGCGTGTTAGAAAGCGTTGGGAACTTCAAGTTATCAGTCCCAATTGAATAGGAAAAAAGGTTTTTGAGGAACTTCTTAAATACTGGGAGTCACCCGAATTTCTGACTAAATCTTAAAATTTTAAGAAGATGAGGGCATCTGAAAAAGGGGGTTGTGTTAATGCAGTTGGAAGTATAAGTACCGCAGAGCATGTCCGGTGCATGGTAAATATTACCACTTTTTAAGTTATATTTTAATTCATAATATATTTTATTATTTAAAGTTAATTTTATTATTTAGACCAAGACTTTGAGGAGACCTCCATTGATGATTGACTTGGTTAAAAAGACTCGGATAAATAAAATCGGAGATTTTGTTGACGAACGTACTTTAAAAGTTTTCGTAAGTTATTTAATTTACGTTGTTTATTTTTTTTATTTAATGTCAATTTTGTGTCGTGATTTTCACGTGGCAACTGAGAAGATGTGACGTGAAAATTATGTGGCAATTGAGAAGTCGTGGCGTAAAAATCACGCGGAAAATTTTTTAATTTAATTTAATATAATTTAATATATATATTTAACTTAATGTTTTTATTGAATGTATAGGAGGATTATCAGACATTGCTCGCAAATTTTTTGATTCATAATCCTCAATATACTCCGAGAGAGGGAGAGCCGCTTCATCCAGATGTGAATTTTTATATTTGGGATCGAGTCGCGAAAAAGGCCCTAACGGTTTTTTTTTTGTGGTGTAAATTTGGCGGACACCTTGAGAAATGAGGATAAAACTCTACTCACTACAACATTTAGGCTCTCCAGCAACAATTGAAAAACGTTGCCAGAACTCTGAAAATCGTTGCCTAAAATAATAGGGGACGTTTTCTAGGCGTCTCCTGTGCGAGCGTTGCCTATTGTTTGAGGCGACGTTTTTTTATGTTTTTTGGGAACGCTTTTGAAAAACGTCGCCTATAGTAAAGGAATAGGGGACGATTATTTACGGCCGCTGAGACAACGTTTTTTAAGCGTTGCGTTGCCAAATTCGGCTACAATTAACAATCGTTGCCTTAAACCTGAATCAGGAAGATCGTTTTTGAAGTGTAGCCATAGCTTATAGGTTGTTGTTTTATAGTGTCCACATAAAATATACAATTTTGCAATTATTATCAAAATAATATAGTCAATAATAATTGGCTTCAAAAATAATATTGATTATATAACTTAAACCATACATCCATAAAAGTTGTAATATAATAAAATCGAGTTCAAACTTTAATTCAAGATATAGTATATAGAGTACACAAAATGCCTAACGTAACAATATTACTTTTAATACTTTGAAGTATGACCCTAGTAAAATAACTAAAAACATAGTTCAGCAAAAGAACAAAAATTATATTTCAAGTTTAATGCTTTCAACTACAAGCCAAAAAAAAGACATCATCCAACTCATTCAAGTTTGTCTTCTAGGAGTAAAGCATCCAGATCGTCCTCTTGAAATTCGTTAGATATGTCATCCTCCATAAATTCTTCATCTACGTCGTCCTCTTGAAATTCACCATCTATATCCTCCTCTTGAAATTCATCATCTAGATCTATGTCGTCCTCTTGAAATTCGTCATCTACGTCGTCCTCTTGAATTTTATCATTTAGGTCGTCCTCTTGAATTTTATCATTTATGTCGTCCTCTTGAATTTCATCATTTATATCGTCCTTTTCAACATCTTCATTGATACATTGCTGCATAAGAAAATAAAATAAAACACATTAACCATAAGTATTTTTGGTCCAAAGGACAATTAAGACATCAACAAGAATTAAACCTCGCACAAATAAAAACTAAATCAATGAGCAAAACACATTGTTTATATTCTTCACATCTCATGGATGTGAATTAATTATGAAGGTTTTTAATGGATGTGAATTTTCGTTCTAAACTGTAATAGGTGACATGAGCTTACTAGCAAATAAATCAATTATGAAAACTATTCTATTTTTGGCTCACTATTCAGGACTTACAATAGCCTTTAACTGTATGTATATATGTATGTATAACTTGTGCTATCCTTTTATGTTTATTTTTTGGAGTAAATGAACTCTGATGAACACTCTTACTTGTTGTATCTTCTTTGGTGTTCAGTATGTAAATAATACATGAAATCATTATTATGAAATATGAAACTAATTACCTTTTTCTTCTTCTCTATTTGTGATTGCATCTTCTTCGTTGACTTTTGCCCGATTTTGAACACTTTCTTGTCGAGTTCCTTTTTTTGATTGATTTTGTCCTGGATTGCATAGACTTGAGCATTATATGGAGAGATAACTCCAATGCTAACTTTCTCTTGTGTCCTCTTAAACTCTAAAATTAAGAACATACACATATTAATTATACACATATTAATAGAAAACATAACCACAAATGGTAAAGAGAATAATAACCTTTTTTGAGGTTTTTAATCATCTCAGAAATGACAGCAACCTCAACCATGTTCATCAAGTTGTGTCCGCGGCCAGATTTCTCCTTACCCTTAGCAATGTTAATAAAAGAATAAGACGAATATAATTCTCCTTCAAGGAAACTCTTATTGTAGCTTTCTTCCATAACAAAAGGGGCGTCTGAGATCTTTTGATCATAGAACTCTTTGCATGGAAATAAGCTTATGTTTGGATGCATTCGATACTGAACATTAAGCATATGTTTCTTGTACCCTAATATTACCAATCTCTCAAACATACTTCTTCCAAATCCACAACTATCAGCAATCTAAAAAAAATTCAAACATCATAAACATACTTAATTAAAGGCAAAAAAATTCAAGATACAATAAAACTAAATTCAATAATCAGGTACCTTGCTTTTCACCAGTGCTGGCAGTTTCTTCTCATCACCTATAAGAATGCAATGCTGAAGACCAGGTAGCTGTAAGGGGATTGTGGATTCACACTCTTTGAACTGGGCCGCTTCGTCAATTACTAGAAACTTTACCTGAGTCATTCCATCAGTGTAGAGTTTAATAGAACTAGAAACAGTGCACAAAACCAGACATGCATTGGACAAGCAAAACTTTTCTATTTGATTTCTCCCATTGAGTTCAGGAAGCAAAATAGAACTGGAAAGCAAACTGAGTATTTTCAAGAAATCATCAATTTCAGAGTTTGATGGTAGAAAGCAAGAAGGAATTATGTCTTCCTGTGATACCAACACAGCTTGAAACAGCTTCTTCCTGTGAATCATTCAAATTTTGAGAACGAATTATGTCTTCTTTAGTGTAAGAATACTGGCTACAAAATTTGCAGTTTTCTCCACCCTGAAACACAAAAGCAAGTATAAAAAAATGTTACATTCATATATAATCAAACTGCATAAAAAAAACTCCATTGTTCTAAACTAGATATGAACTCAAATTTGAACATGACTGATTTTGCCTTATTTGAACTGAGAAACTAACAAAGAAAACAAATGAAAAAATTATTCTTACATCATGACAAGGCCGCAACACTTTTTTAATAAGGCCAAGGTGGTCACCGTCTGATTGTGAGTTCAAGGCTTTCCAAATACGAACATTTGTTGTCATGTTCATAAGATAAACTGCATACATTTTCAGGTAAAATAAATAATATGGGGGTATTATTGTCTTTGTCGCTTCACCGGTAGGTTCTGTAAGCCGGAGTATACATACAACTCTCAGCAAACTTCTCCAAATCTTTCGGCTGAGGAAGACGAGTCGCCAAACCTATAACAAAAACACAAACTCAGTTATTATGATAAGTGATTATCCAATAAGCTCTTAATTAAGATGTTTATTCTTAAAAGCTCACCAAGCTCATAAGCCTTAGCAGCAACTTTGGCAGCAATGTGAGCTGAAATCTTTCTGATGTTTGTGAATGGTGGAAATATCAGACCCTTCTCAAAGTTTTCTTCTGTTACTTGTTCAGCCAATGCCTCAGCTGTTACATGAATTCTATTACTACATTTGTTTATAAAATGTATGTATTTTGATTCTATGTTTTTGCGAACTTACATGCAGCCAGAAGAAGATCGTCGTGCACGCGAATGGTACCAGACATTATTAAACCTAGGCCAAACCCAGGGAATATGTATGCATTATTCGACTGAAAAGCAAAACAAATCCAATTTAGTCAAATAGATATAGTTATTCAATGAATCTACAAAGTCGAAATTCACTTATAATAAGGAATGGAGGAAGTATAATGTTAGTGAAAATAATATCGGAGCTTGACCTGGCCAGGCACGAACACTTTGCCCTTATATTCGACTGGCGGAAATGGGCTCCCACTTTCAAAAATCGCGCGCCCCTGATTCGTTGACAAGGGAAGAAAAGAAAACATAATGGTCAGCGTTGATCCAAGAATAAGATTAAATTTCAATGCAAAATATAAGTCGGTTCTTATTACCCTGCTCTACAAGTAAGCTTCTTCTGCTGTACATTCTGATTGTGATGTTGGGTTGGAAAGAGCCAGAATAATCGGTTTCTACAAGTATCATCAAACAAAATAACATTACTCAACTTATTCAGACATGAAGTTGCGTTGGAGCTACTAGATGATTTGATCGACAAGGAACGGTACCTCGTTAAGAGAAGCCATTGCCTCAACCACCTCTTTGGTAAAAGTTTTTCCTTGGCCCGATGTTCCGATAAGCACTGTTGGCTTAATTTTCTGAAAAGAAAACATTGAAAATGTAAGAAAATCGAGACTTCTGTTGTGTAATGTGTATACACGCATATGTCTAAGTGTAAGAAAACATTATATTATCTGCATAAGCCATGCTATTTATCCAATGTTTCGGCCAAATTCTATGAGTTTTAGTCATCTGCATAAGCCATGCTATCTCAAATAAAATATATGGCTACATAATAATTCATTAACTTCAAATTGGTTACCTAAAAAATATACAAAACTATAGAAATTGATTAGTAAAAATTAAATGATAAATGACTTTTCTATCTTAAGAGCTGCACGCATTTGAAATGATTGAACCTAAAAGCTCTAATCCATGAAGTCATAATATAACAAAAGTATGCTATTAAACAAAACTAACTTGGAGAAATTTATTAACAGCAGGGAACAAACCTGAGGTGTATTACAGACGGAACCGTTAACTGTAACCTTGCCTTCAAAAATAAGCTCTTCACAGCTTCTCCTGGACGCAACTGAAAACAAAACAGCTTACTTATAATCAATTTTGATTATGTTGTTAATTCTCTTTTACTGCATAAAATCATCAAATTGTCATTATAGTCCAAATACTACTAAATTGTCACCTCCAGAAGCAGCGAGAACCTTGCTGAGACGCGTACCGGAGTCCTTGAATTTTTCATTGTAGAATCTCCTTGCCGCTTTGGAATACTGCGGCGGCGCCACCTCACGGACCTTAGTTTCCTTTTCATTTTTCTTCTTGGCTTTCACAGTTTGGTTCTTCTCTGATTTTTTGGTACCTGTTGAGGCATTGGTCATGGCTTTGAGAAAGGTTGGAGGAGATTCAGACGAGAGTTTGAAGTTTCCATCTTCGTCTCGAACATTCCACGGGATGGTGTCACCGTCGTCGGGGAAATGGTTCGGGTTATCGAGTTTAGGGTCGGGTTTAGGTTTAGGGTTGGAGGGAGAGAAGGAGATGTTGGATTTGAGAGGACAAGAGGGGAGGGAAGAGCAGGTGAGGCGAGGGAGAGTGCGGAAGGAAGAAGTGAGTTTGGTTGATTTGGTGAAATAGAGTGTCGTCATCGCCATTGTTGCCGCCGAACCCATTGTTCTGGCGCGGCGGCGGTGGTGGTGGTGGTTTTTTAAAATTGCAGAGAAATGGAAAAGAAATAGTAGTGCTCTAGTTTCTATCTTATCCTTGGGTTTGCATTCGGAGTTTTGTTTAATTTTTTATATATATATAATTTTTTATTTTCTGTTTAATTGAAATTTTTTATTTTTAAATTTGTGTTAGAAAAATATATTTTTTTATATATATTAATAATGTTTAGAGAAAAATATTTGTTTTTTAGTGTATAAGTTTTGGAGGGAAGATTGCCACCAAAAATTTGATAATTCTAAAAAAATTTATACAACATTTCAGAAATGTAGTCTTTTATTAGAACTAATGTAACAATCTAAAAATGTCCCCAAAAATATTTTAGGGGACAATTGTCAAATATTGCTAAAGAAATAATATTTTAACGCTCTAAAATCATCTCCAAAAGCAGTTAAGGGCACAATTAACAACCGTTGGCAAAAAAATAAAAGAGTATCGCTCCATAAACGTCCCCAAAAGTATTTTAGGCGACGATTATCAAGGGTTGCAAACATATTTTTTACAACAATCGTAAATCGTTGCCTATATGAATTTAAGGTAACAATTTCTACATGTTACCTAAAAAAGTGTTGCCAGAGACAACAAATGTTGTAGTGACTTCAAAGAGTTAGAGATGGAGAAGGGGGGTCACGTCAACCAAATTTGACACCAGAACAACTTGAAATAGTAAGACAATTGACGTTAAATGAGGTGAAACGCGAGTGAGCGTAATGTGAGGCGGCAATGAAAGCCTAAATGGAGGCTCAAATGGAGGTAATGATGCAAGAACAACAACGACAAATTGAGGTCATGGTGAAGAGGCAAACTGATATGGAGCAGCAAATGAGACAATTTATGCAAGGATTTGGTGGAAATCAAAACTTTTGTGGTCAAGAGCCGGAGGATGACGGAAACGAAGATAATTTTTATATTGACAACTATACCAATCAAGATGACCCGTAAAATTAATTTTTTTATATTTTGCTTTCAAATTTGAATTTGTGTACCATACTAATTAATTAAACCTACTAATTAATTCTTAAATTTATAATTTTAGTTTATTAATTTTATTATATTAAATTTAATATATTAAATTTATTATATATTAAATTTATTATATATTAAATTTATTAATTTACTTTATTATATATTAAATTTATTAATTAATTTAATTAATTATAAAAGAAATATTCAACAAATAATTTTTTTTTAAAAGAAAAACACTACTGACGTGATTTACATATTGTGACATGTAAATCACGTCACAACTTAATTTATTCAAAGATAACAAAAATTGATTAAACGCGTATTGTAATAATATAGTGACGTGATTTTCACGTTACAAGTTAGTGACGTGAAAATCACGTCGCAATTTAATTTTGTATATAAAAAAATAAAAGCTGAAACACCCAAAATACACATGAGGGACATAGTTCATTTCAGTTCAATAACATTGTCTAACATTAACATTATGATAATGTTACATCGCTCAATATAAAGTAACAAAATTTACTATTGAATTTAAAGTATGTATCATAGAGACCATCCATGCAAAACCTTACTGAAAACTAAAACTCTTTGATATGTACACACTTCCTTGGTAGTTTATGGACGGTGGTAGTTTGCATTATTATATTACTAAAAGAAAGAAGGGTTAAATTGTGGCAGAAAAAACGTTATTCATAAGTTGTCAAAGAGACAAAGGTCAAGTTGATTCTTTATTATGACTGTGATGTTACTGTCTCTCAGATACTTGTAACAACGGTCTTTACCACAAAAACCGGACAGTTATATACCGGAAATTTCACATGGTAGAACAGTTTATAAGAGTTAAAACACCATGCATTCTTTCTGGATGTTTGGTTGGTACTATTAATTTACAATTATAATACAACTAAAAAGTCCCATGTCCACTGGGAAAGTGAGTTATATATATTGTACTTTAAGCTGTTCTCAGTTCACTTATGATATCGACAAGTTTCATTCCTCTCCTAATCACAATTTCACCACTTTAATTTATCACTTCTTAGGGTATTCATAATTCATAGTTCATGAAGGTCAAACAATTTTAATGGTTTAGTTTGTTTTTAATAATCATTTTAAGTATAAAAAAAAATTGTTAAAATGATTTCAACTTAATTTAAAATTGATTTAAAATTGATTTTTATTTATAAATTAATTTTATTAAGTTTGAATTTATAAATTGGTTATATATTTTAAAAATATATAAAAATAATAATTCTTTTACAGATTTTTCTCGTATACAGAATTAAAAAGAATTATTTTTATTTCCAAATTAAAAATATTGGTTAAACAAAATTTTGAGTTTTTTTTTAAAAATATTTTCTGATTTGCTTTAAAAAAAATTTTAATTAGATTTTTTTCATTAAATATTATTTTAAAAAATACTTCTTAAAACAATTTAAATAGTTTAAATTGATTTTTTAATTTAAATTTAATGAACCAAATTATATGGCCGATCATGTACATGTGCAGGGAAAATCACATCAGTCAAAAAAGTCACATCAAAGAGTCTCAAATAATTCAAATCTCAATTTTATTTTGAGCTTTATAAAAATTTATAAAATAAATAATATTTAATTTTGTTTCTGAAAATAAATAATATTTAATTTATAATTTAATGATTATTGTTGTTGGTGCAAGGTAATGAAATAGGAGAAGAATAATGAGCAATGAATGATAACAAAGAGGACTACTATTGTATATCAAATAGAGGAATGAATGAGTTATAATATTGATAGCCTATGTAGCATATTTATACTAAAATTGAAAATGCCAAAAGGCCCTAATAAAGAATAAGCATTGGAAATTGTAGACATTAACTAAATTATATTTCCAATACCATCCCTTAATTTAGATATTCTATCAGAAACTAACAACACCAATTTCATCTCTCAAAAGAAGAAATTGATTTGTTTTAACTGCCTTTGTCAGAAGATCTGCAAGCTGTTTCTGAGTGCTACAGTGCAAAACTTCTAACACTCCTTTATGCACTTAACTTCTGAGAAAGTGATACTTCGTCTCAATGTACTTGCTTCTTCCATGTAGCACTGGATTCTTGGCAAGATCAATTGCAGACTTATTATCAATCATCAGTTTCAGAGGTTCCTCAACTTCAACCTTCAGATCGTGCAGGAGATTCAGAAGCCAAACTTCTTGACAAACAGCTACAGCACCTGTGATATACTCAGCTTCACATATTGACAGAGCCACGACAGGCTGTTTCTTGGAACTCCAAGAAATGGGACCTCCCAGAAATTTAAACAAGTATCCAGAAGTACTTCTCATGTCCACTCTGTCTCCGCACCAGTCAGAATCAGAATAACTTACTAATTCTGATTGTGTCTTTCTTTCAGAAGAAAACAACACTCCATATCTCAGAGTTTCCTTAATATATCTCAGAATTCTGACAGCAGCTTGGAAATGAGACCACTTTAGATTACTCATGAATCTACTAATCAATCCAACTGCATAACAAATGTCAGGTCTAGTATTATATAAATACCTTAGAGAATCAACCAACTGTTTGAAG